CTTCAGATTTTAGACCTTGCTGATGTCGGATCAGTCTTCAATAAAATGCTAATGTACATAAGTATCTGTAATAGTCTAAGGTGACTGGATGAATTTTACCACTGATAATTTTACTTATACTGTCTTCAATGTCTGAAACCTTATGAAATATTTGAAAAGGCACTTAACATAGTTCATAATTCCAATAATTAATGTCAATAATTCAAACACTTTAGGATGTCTTCCTGAGCATAATAATGTGCTAAAAATCATTGTAGATTAATGAGTCTTGAGTTTTCTTCCTGAGGATTTGTACATATCAGTTCTCTTTAATTAACTATTTGCTGGTTTTAAACTTTAACTGCCCTTTCAAAAAAAAAAAAGATTAATATAAGTCTTGAGAGGTGTGTACAATTCAGGTTGGTAGTGTGTTGTTTAGATAACATGTAGACATAAATACAATTCTAATAATTGACAAAACTTCTATTCTTCACTCAAAGAGGTGCATATCTAACTAATAAATGTACAATATATCATTGAAAATGAAAGTGAAATCGCTCAGTTGTTTCTGACTCTTTGCAATCCCATGGACTGTAGCCTACCATGCTCCTCTGTCCATGGGATTTTCCAGACAAGAGTACTAGAGCGGGTTGCCATTTCCTTCTCCAGAGGATCTTCTTGACCCAGGGATGGTACCCGGGTCTCCCGCATTGTAGGCAGATGCTTTACCATCTGAGCCACCGGGAAAGTATATCATTAGTCTGAGATAAATAATTTGACATTAAAACTAAAATAGCCGTCTCTCACCCATAATATAATTATTTTAAATAGCTAGACTAACAATTTTAATCCTGGTTCTGCCACTTAATTACCTACTATAGGACCCTGGAAACATTATTTGGCCTCCCTGAGCCTCAATTTCTTCATTTGAGAAAAGGAGACAGACCACCATTTATTCACAGGGTTATTGTGAAAATTAAATGAATATAAAGAAGGCAGTAGAACAATACCTGAAACATGGCTAACAAGAGACTTAACAAATGTTATCAAATTATCTTTGAAATTTGCTGATTTCTTTAGACTTTTTATCTTGATGCAATTTCAGATTTATAAAATAAGTGGCACGAATGGCTCACTGTTTGTCTGCCCTTTACTCAGGCTCCCAAATATTAATATATTACCACATTTGCTTTATCCTTGACCCAGTGGATATGTATGTATTATTTTGCTTTTTAACCATTTAAGAATAAGCTGCAGTTATGATGTCCTTTTACCCTTAAATGCTTCAAGATATGTTTCTTTAAACCACCATTGTCTTACATATACACAGTGTAGGTCTCAAAACAAATTATCAGTGATACAACACTGTTTGCCCTTGGGCATGGGGTAGATCCTCAGAGTTCATCAGAGTGCCTGATGAACTATGGATGAAGGTTCATGACATTGTACAGGAGACAGGAATCAAGACCATCCCCAAGAAAAAGACATGCCAAAAAGTGAACTATGGATGAAGGTTCATGACATTGTACAGGAGACAGGAATCAAGACCATCCCCAAGAAAAAGACATGCCAAAAAGCAAAATGGCTGTCTGAGGAGGCCTTACAAATAGCTGTGAAAAGAAGAGAAGCGAAAAGCAAAGGAGAAAAGGAAAGATATACCCATTTGAATGCAGAGTTCCAAAGAATAGCAAGGAGAGATAAGAAAGCCTTCCTCAGTAATCAGTGCAAAGAAACCAAGGAAAACAATAGAATGGGAATGACTAGAGATCTCTTCAAGAAAATCAGAGATAGCAGGGGAACATTTCATGCAGAGATGGTCACAATAAAGGACAGAAATGGTAGGGACCTAACAGAAGCAGCAGATATTAAGAAGAGGTGGCAAGAATACACAGAAGAACTGTACAAAAAATATCTTCATGACCCAGATGATCACGCTGGTGTGATCCCTCACCTAGAGCCAGACATCCTGGAATGTGAAGTCAAGTGTGCCTTAGAAAACATCACTACGAACAAAGCTAGTGGAGGTGATGGAATTCCAGTTGAGCTATTTCAAATCCTGGAAGATGATGCTGTGAAAGTGCTGCACTCAATATGCCAGCAAATTTGGAAAACTCAGCAGTGGCCACAGGACTGGAAAAGGTCAGTTTTCATTCCAATCCCAAAGAAAGACAATTCCAAAGAATGCTCAAACTACTGCACAATTGCACTCATCTCACATGCTAGTAAAGTAATACTCAAAATTCTCCAAGCTAGGCTTCAGCAACATGTGAACCATGAACGTCCAGATGTTCAAGCTGGTTTTAGAAAAGGCAGAGGAACCACAGATCAAATTGCCAGCATCTGCTGGATCATCAAAAAAGCAAGAGAGTTCCAGAAAAACATCTATTTCTGCTTTATTGACTATGCCAAAGCCTTTGTGGGGATCACAATAAACTGTGGAAAATTCTGAAAGAGATGGAAATACCAGACCACCTGACCTGCCTCTTGAGAAACCTGTATGCAGCTCAGGAAGCAACAGTTAGAACTGGACATGGAACAACGGACTGATTCCAAATAGGAAAAGGAGTACGTCAAGGCTGTATATTGTCATCCTGCCTATTTAACTTACATGCAGAGTACATCATGAGAAACGCTGGGCTGGGTGAAGCACAAGCTGGAATCAAGATTGCCAGGAGAAATATCAATAACCTCAGATATGCAGATGACACCACCCTTAAGGCAGAAAGTGAAGAACTAAAGAGCCTCTTGATGAAAGTGAAAGAGGAGAGTGAAAAAGTTGGCTTAAAACTCATCATTCAAAAAGCTAAGATCATGGCATCCGGTCCCATCACTTCATGGGAAATAGACAGGGAAGCAGTGGAAACAGTATCAGACTTTATTTTTCTGGGTTCCAAAATCACTGCAGATGGTGACTGCAGCCATGAAATTAAAAGATGCTTACTCCTTGGAAGGAAAATTATGACCAATCTAGACAGCATATTAAAAAGCAGAGACATTGTTTTGCCAACAAAGGTCCGTCTAGTCAATGGTATGGTTTTTCCATTGGTCATGTATGGATGTGAGAGTTGGACAATAAAGAAAGCTGAGCGCCAAAGAATTGATGCTTTTGAACTGTGGTGTTGGAGAAGACTCTTGAGAGTCCCTTGGACTGCAAGGAGATCCATCCAGTCCATCCTAAAGGAGACCAGTCCTGGGTGTTCACTGGAGCTAGGAATAGGCAAGTCTTACTAGGGAATTTTAAGGAGCTTGACTACTTGGTGTGAGTTCATGTTGGTAATTAGTGTCTAGGGGGCCCACTTTATTGGGAGCCTGGATTCCATGTTGATTCTAATTCATCCTGTAGGAATAAAGAGTATTCACAAAGAGTATGCTTTAGAAAGTTTAGTCTGATGTTATATTGCAGAAGGATTAGAAAAATGTAAGGCAAGTTAGGAAACTATTACTTTGAATCTAAGGCAATAGGAATACAAATGGAAAGGAATCTGGAAATGAATTTGGAAGGAAGAAATAACTTTAGGTTATTGAATCAGGAAAACTGGGAGAATGGAGTATTCTGCAAGAAACAGGAAACTGATGATTTTTATAAGGGAAGAACAGGAAAATTGTGAAGAGAAATTCAAAGAAAACCAGGTTTGGTGATATTGAAAATTGTTATCTTTTTTTCCTACTAAGTTTGATTAAAAGCTATACAATTACTCTATAATTTTTATATAAAACAATATAGCTAAAAAGTAATGACCTATGATTTGACCTCTCAAGTCCTATCTCTAAATTGAGAGAAATTCAAAGAAAACCAGGTTTGGTGATATTGAAAATTGTTAGCTTTTTTCCTACTAAGTTTGATTAAAAGCTATACAATTACTCTATAATTTTTATATAAAACAATATAGCTAAAAAGTAATGACCTATGATTTGACCTCTCAAGTCATATCTCTAAATTGAGATCCAGATTCCTCAATTAATTTGAAATGTGGGCTTTCGTTGGCATTGGGAATGTGGAATTTGTTTCCAAGTGTAGCATTTGATTCTTCTGTGTTACTAAAATTCACACTCCCACCCTTCTCTTTAAAAAAAAAAAATATCATTTTTAACTTTGACTTTGTGTAAAGAAGAAATCATTAGAAACTAAGAATTTAGCTTACAAGGTCTTAAAATCACCAAATATTATGACCAAGATATACTTTGCCATATGTTGGGAGATAGATGTAGAAAGTACCTAAATCCAAACATTCCACAAGGAGTGAGAGTGAGTTCCCGAACAGCTATTCCTTTTTTTCCCTTTTATTTATTTTTTAAAAGCTTTTATTTTGTATTAAGATATAGCTGATTAACAATGCTGTGATATTTTGATAGTTTCAGGTGAGCAGCGAAGGGACTCAGCCATACACATAGGTGTATCCATTCTCCCCCCGGCTCCCCTCCCATCCAGGCTGACACATAACATTGAGCAGAGTTCCCTGTTGCTATACAGTAGGTCCTTGTTGGTTATCCATTTTTAATTTAGCAGTGTGTACATGTCCATCCGAAACTCCATAACTGTCCCTCTACTCTGTCCCTTCCTCACTGGTAACCATAAGTTCATTTCCTAAGTCTGTAAGTCTGTTTCTACCAAACAGATACTCTGCCATTTCATTAATTTTTCAGTCTTAATCAGTCATGATCGTTTTTCTTCTTAGATATAGCAAGAAAAATGGCACAGGTTTGTTATCTTTGTAGTTTCTGTCTCTTCAGGCTTTCTGAAATAGCTTGAATCCTGAAGAGTACATCGGAGAACTAAACCTCATTCAGTTCATAAGATACCAAGCAGGTTTGTTCATTTGTTTCTTAATAGGTTAATATATGGACTTTGTAATTAAAATCTGTTGAAAGGAATTATTACATGAAGTAATGTACTAACCATCTAATGTGTTGGGATAGTGCTGGGCGGCTGTCATAATTTCTGCTGCTACAGTTTGTAAAAAGGAAAATAAAGTCAGTTCTTTTTGTTGGGAAAGAAGATTTCATGTTATCTGTATTTGCAGGCTTTCTGGCTCATATGCTGGAGGAATCCTTGCTGCGGGGGTGTTTTCATTTTCTCGTCTAACATGGCAGTGGTCCATTGCAGCAGAGGTTTTTAGCTTAAACAATCTGTTTGTGGGCCTGCTTATGGCTCTTACTGTACATTTTGAGGAGGCAGCAACTGCACAAGAAAGATCAAAGGTAACCTATTTTGATCAAAGTGAAATCACTTTTTGTTTTAATTTTAGACAGATGCTCTATTTCTTTTTAACTTTGGTATAGATACTGTTTATCTATTCTGATTACTGTCAAGGTAATCTTAGCTTGTTGAGAGAAAAAACTCTCAAAACACTTCAGTTTTTTTACTGTGAACTATGAGAGCCTTTATAAAACATGAGAATTTTTTTTCCGTCTCAGAGTTCAAAAGTTTTTTGGAGAATGAGGGTATTATGAAATCCCCTTTGAGTCTTATTGGAAAGAAAGGCTTGTGAGCTAATCTACTGGTGTGTGTGTGTGTGTGTGTGTGTGTGTGTGTGTGTGTGTGTGATCTTAAGATGACAAGCTTTAGGTTGACCACCTTAAATTATTTACCATTATGGTGCATTGGCTTATTCTCTAATTTCACAAAAGATCAAATAATTTGTACTTTTTTTTAACTAAAAGGAAAGTAATCAGATGTAAAATGAAGTAGTTCTGAAGAGATTGCAATGACTTCTAAAGCCACCTCTATCATCAAAATAATTTGCAGTGTGGAGTAACCCTGTCTTCTAAGGGCTTACCATCTACACATTGAAGAGTGCCAGATTATCTTAATATATGGGCAACCTGTGTCATTAAAGAATTTAGAAACAAAAGAACATCAAGGTTTATCTGTGGTTTCCATAAACAAACCTGTGATGATATTAGAGTTTATTTTTTGTTTAAAATAAACCTTTTTATGATTATGAAAATAACACATGTTCAGAAGTAGCAAAAAGACCACCCATAGGGAACCAGGTTTCTAAATAAAAGTGTTATATTTAATTAATTTAATAGAAGAAAATGTAAAACAGAGAATTGCTGAACTTTAGTTCTAGATTTCACTTGAACTATACTATGTCTTATTACTGTTAGAACTTGTCATCATATAGGACTTTCTGAAACCTAGTTTGAAGACAGTAATTTAAGATCTACATGTAAATCCGTGGCTGATTCCTGTCAATGTATGACAAAAATTACTACAATATTGTAAAGTAATTAGCCTCCAACTAATAAAAATAAATGAAAAAAAAAAGATCAGCCTGCAGTAATTTGATAAGAATGAAAAATATTAATAAAATAATGGTGATAAATATTAGTGAGTATTAAACATGATTGTTTACATTAAAAGGTTGATGTTAAACTGGTTTACTGTATAAGTGCTTAGTTTTAATAGAAAGAATAGCTTTTTACTATTGTGCTTTCTTAGTTTTTGGTGAATTTTTAATTTGGATTATTTTCTTTTATTATTTTTCAGATAGCTAAAATTGGTGCTTTCTGCTGTGGCCTTAGCTTATGTAATCAGCACACCATAGTACTCTATGTTTTGTGCATAATACCATGGATTCTCTTTCGACTTTTAAAAGAGAAGGTAGGTTTTTCAGTAAAAATGCCCAATATGACATTTATGGCATCAGAAAACATGGGATTTATTTATTTATTAGCTTCATACAAGGCTTGATAGGGGTATTATTAAATCAATAAATGGCTTTGGGTAGTATGAACATTTTAACAATATTAATTATTTTAATCCATGAACGTGAGATATCTTTTCATATGTGTCTTCTTAAGTTTCTTTCATCAATGTCTTATAGTTTTCAGGATACAGATATTTTAATAATACCTCCTTAGTTAAATTTATTCCTAAACTATTATATTTGATGCTATGCTACTGTAAAAGAAATAGTTTTTTTTTCAGATAGTTCATTGTTAGTATATAGAAATACAACTAATTTTGTATCCTGTAACTTTCCTAAATTTATTAGGTTTTACAGCTTTTTGATAGAATCTTCAGGATTTCCTATTTAAGATCATGTCATTTGCTGAGACAGTTTCACTTCCTTTCTAGTTTGGATTCCTTTTATTTCTTTTTTTTGGCCTAATTACCCTGAATAGGACTTCCAGTACTATGTTGAACGTAAGAGGTGAGAGTGGGCACCCTTGTCTTATTCCTGATCTCAAAGGAGAAGCGTTCAGTCTGTCACCATTGAGTATTATGTTAGCTGTGGCCTTGTCATATGTGACTTTCATCATGTTAATATATGCCTCACATCAATTAAATCAAAATTATTTTAGAGTAGGATCAGCCACTGGCTCGGCTCTGTAGATGCGCAGAACTGCTGGCTGAAACCTCTGCTCTGGCACCGCTGCAAGCAGGAATGTGTTCTCCCAAGACTGGAGACTGGTCACTGTAAGCCCTGCTTCCCTTCTCCATGTCTGTCTGATCCCCAGTGGTTGAGCCCCAAAGATCCACTCCCCCTCACCCCGCCACTGTGGCCCCTGCGAGTGAGAACTGAGTGAGTCTCCTGGGGAGCATCCTGCACTGCCTGGGGATCTGGATTTCCACCCTGGGGTCTCTTTTCCCACTAGAAAAAGTGTACCCCAAGGGGAGTCCTCTGATGCAGCACTGTGCTGGCCTAGGGGAGGAGTGATATGGTCAGAGTGCCCCTCAAAACCTCGAGTGCAGTCCTTCTCAGTCTGTGTGGTCCAGGACTTCAGCCTCAACCACAGTGTCTAGGATTTTCACAACAGTATCTTGTCTACAGGTAGTTGTTGATGGTGTTTTGTGGGAAGGACTTAAGTTGGGGTTACTTATGTTGCCATCTTGATGGCGTCACTCTTAGCCAGCCTTCTGATATCAGAGAAGGTGCGGCTAGATATCAGATACATTCTCTGGCATGAACTTAAAAAGCAGATCTTTTGTTTTAAGTCTTTGAAGGGAGAGCCATATTCTCATGTAAAACATACAAGACCCAGAGCTGACAAGTTAGGAACCTGGTCTTAGAGCCTGTTTACCCTGTACTTAGATCAACTTCTGATGAATGATGAAACTTGGGAAAGTGTGACTCTTCAAAGCACCTTTTATTTTTATTTTTTAAAGAGCAGAGTCTAGAAAATAAGATCTACCAGTGAAGTGATAGGGAATTGGATCTGACTGCTCAGGTGATCTAAGGCAGAGAAGGAAATTAGTTGGTTGCAACCCCAACTGCTCACTTAAATTATCTGGAAAGATTTAAGAAAGTAAGTAGGTGTTTGTGTGTGTGTGTGCCTTTGTGTGCTCTCACTACCCTAACATAATTCTGATTTATTTGTTTGGGTGTGAGGCCCTGGGAATGATAGTTTTAAAAGTTCCCCAGGTGACTCCAATCTGCATGCAGCTAGGACTCAGAGCCACTCTCCTGCACTCTGAAATAGTTCTGTGTTTATTTCTCTATGTCCCACACAGAAGGAAAATTCTGCAGCAACTGTGTCTTGCCATTCTAAACTGAACTTTATAGTGAGCAAAATCTGCTAAAATCTAAACATTTACTTTCTTTAAAGCTACTTTTAAGAATAGAAAAGGCATATTCTTCAATTAGTTATTTCTTCCTTTTTTTTCATCCCATCATTTTTTATGAATCTCATTACCACTTTAGAAATGTCAAACAAAATCAGTACTGTAATAAAAATATTCCATTTTAAACTGAGAATGTTTATTTGAAAATGCCAGTGTAAGTCAACTACTTTTCTACTTCTGGTGAATGCAAATCTTGGTTCTCATATTCATTGTCACCTTTGAATTTCCCTTTTTCGTAAAGAAAAAATTGGCAATTTCCAATCACAATATTTGTAAGAGATGACATTTCCAATTACTAAAGCAACCATAGAATTCTTTTGGGCTCAGTCTTTGTAAAAATTTGACAGAGTTTCCCTTGACTTTAGAAATGTGCAGAAGCAGGACTTCCCTGGCAGTACAGTGGTTAAAACTCCATGCTTCAATTACTTCAAGGCTCGATCCTTGGTGGGGGAACTAAAATCACATGCCACATGACATGGCCAAAAAAGAAAAAAGCAAAGAAGAAACTTGCAGATGAGAAATATATTCTGTTTGAGGCAAGATTGTTGCATACAACAACACATTTCCTTCTTTCCTATGTAAATTGAGGAAAAAAAAACAGCATTTGGATGAACTTGAGTGTTACTTAAAAACTACCTTCATATGTGCTAAGGATTTCCATGAAATGTTCAAAACCCTACAAGGGGTTTCTACAAGAAAGAATATATTATTAATGTGCAGTCATAATATAGTATATAGTTAAAGCCTACTCCTGATGATGATAATGAAGTGAATCAGTATTAGAACAGTATCTTGGGCAGTTTTGAAAACAGTCAAACACCATAATCAACACTGTAATCACTTCCAAGTGGGTAGTCTCAGCTGTGCAATGCTGCATGTCATGACATGGTTTTAAATGTAGAGGATGCAATAAACATGAAAATCATGTCTTTGCTAATATTATTTGCTTCACTCAGATTTCACTTGCAAAGGAGTTCAGGCTGATGCAATTTCCTGGTAATCCACAGTAATCAGAAGGTTTAACATCGTCTTCCGTGGTGACTTGATATAAATTGAGAGATCAGCTCTGAGTAAACATATTTGATGTTTTCCTCGATATGTTCTTGAAGTTCCAGGATGAATCTGACTAAAATCAACATTGTGATACATGTGACTCCGTGTACTCTAATGCAGGAACTCTCCCCAGGCTCCCTGTTGAAGTTGAGTCTGTGCTTCTCTGCTGGTCTGCTGCCCTATATCTATCTGCCTGTCTCATCCTACCTCAATCAAGCTCGTTGGACCTGGGGAGACCAGACAACATTGCTAGGATTTTTGACACATTTTCTCAGGGAAGAATATGGAACATTCAGTCTGGTAAATTTATATTTCAAACACTTTTAAGGAAATAAGTGGCAAAACTTCAGTGTTCTGCCTGGACCATGAGCGGGGGAAAAAAACCAGTGTTTATCAATGACCGCATGTGGAATTTTCTTTCGTTATTTATCTAGCAGACTTGCCCCTTGGAATGTAGCCTTTCACATGAGTTCAAAAAAACTGAATCACTTAATCTGACATCATCCTTTTGTGTATCCTGAATATATTTTTCAAGATAATAAGCAGTCAAAAGACTCTGCTCCCAGGAGCTGAAGCTTTTCAATCTTTTTATCATAGGGTATTATTTTGGGCCCTTGGTCTATGATTAAAAATATTTGGAAACAATTAGAGGTAAAACACTTCAGAAATTTTAATATACCTTGACCAAAATATTTCTTTCTTTCTTTTTCAAATATTTGATGAACAGTATTAATGCTAGTATTTAGTGGGAGACCTAAATATGTTAATGCTTCATAAAATATGATCTCACTCAATGGAAACAGTATGTTCCAGAGAATTTCAAAAGACTTTGCTTTCCCTAAGACATAGTTTAGGGTAAAACACTAAATGTGCTTGTGAGTAATGGTTATTGAAAAGTGAAAGGATATACTAATGGGTTTTTATTTTTACATAGGCAGTTATATCTGATTTTTCTTTCATGATTTGTACTTTTTGTGTCTTACTTGAATTAGGCAAATCTCAGATGACTACAATATTAAAGAGTACCATTTAATACAAAATTTTAAACCATGCAAAAACTAATAATCTGTTACTCAATAATACATAAAAGGTAGTAAAACTATATAGTTTTAGAACATAGGGTAATAACTAACACAGAGTTCAAGGTAATAGTTACCACTAGGGGATAAGAAAGCCCCTTTCGAGGGCTCTGTGAAATATAGTAGTTGTGCAGTTCTATTTCTTCAGTAAATGGTGAGTCTATAGATTTTTTTTAAAACTCTTTATCGCCTAAATATAGATTATATGTTTTTATATATAAGAGATATTTCCTAATAAAATCATTTAATAAAAGGATAGCTATTATTCTTTGACTGAGAAGGTTTGGTGCTTTAAATTTATACTCTGGTTTACTTACATTGGTTATTCCATTGAAATATCGCTTGAGGGCCATTGCAGATTTGAAAACGTGTATAATTCACACATAATTGTGAAATTATAGGCAGGTGATAATGAGCTCTAATCAAAGTGCCCAAAAAAGAGCTTAAAGAGACTTTGTAATGAAAGTGTAAAGTCTGTTAATTCATTAATGTGTTAATCATTCCTGCTGGAAGAGTTTAACTGATTTTTAGCCAGTTATTATTTCTGAAATGATTCCTAAGGGATGTCTGTGTTTAGTGTTCACTGACTTCTCTTAAAAAATCCAATAAGACTCTGAAATAAACACTTTGAATGAAGAGGAGTTGCATCATATATTTAAAACATGTATCTTTTAAATCAGGGTAGTTAAAATACAATAGCCTTCCAAGTTTCAGTTTAACACTTATACAAATAAACTTTTCTCTTTTATGTTCAGGCCAAATCTGAAATAGGATCCAGTATGTCTGAAATATTGCTGTGAGTATGAAATATTTTAAACTATTTTTAAATGAACTCCATATTAGTTCCTTTAAATGATCTTAGGGACTTCTGAGTTTATCTCTTTGTGAAGGAGTACTTCTGAGAAGTAGTTCTCACCTCTGTGGTTAACAGTTTTTGCGTATAATGTCAAATATTCTAGCATCCCATCAATAACATAAAGCTTGAAATGAGCACTAAATACAGCAGTGAACAAGACTATTAGGAGACTAAATAGAATCTATAAAATGAAAATGTTTCAACTTTCAGTTGCATACAAAATTACCCAATATATTGTGGCTTTATAAAAAACTTTTTCTTTGTTTATATCTTCTTGCTTTTGGAGACATTTTAGAACATTGCATTTAGCACAATTTAAACAATCATTTTCTTGTTATTTTGGTTTGAACTATATTGAGGGGAGAAATAGCAATAACATCAGATATGCAGATGATACCACCCTTATGACAGAAAGCAAAGAGGAATTAAAGAGCCTCTTGATGAAGGTGGAAAAGCTGGCTTAAAACTCAACATTCAGAAAACAAAGATCATGGCATCCAGTCTCATCACTTCATGGCAAATAGATGGGGAAACAATGGGAGCAATGAGAGACTATTTTCTTGGGCTCCAAAATCACTGTGGACAGTGACTGCAGCCATGAAATTAAAAGACACTTGCTCCTTGGAAGAAAAGCAATAACAAACCTAGACAGCATATTAAAAAGCACAGACACTACTTTGCTTTTGCCTAGAAAAGTCCGTCTAGCCAAAGCTATGGTTTTTATTTCATGCAATAATAGGCACAATAAAGGACAGAAATGGTAGGAACCTAACAGAGACAGAAGATATTAAGAAGAGGTGGCAAGAATACACAGAAGAACTATACAAAAAACTTCTTCAAGACCCAGATAACCACGATGGTGTGATCACTCACTTAGAGCCAGACATTCTTGAATGCAAAGTGAACTGGGCCTTAAGAAGCATCACTATAAACAAAATTCGTGGAGGTGATGGAATTAGAGTGGAGCTGTTTCAAATCCTAAAAGATGATGCTGTTAAAATGCTGCTCTCATGTTGCCAGCAAATTTGGAAAACTCAGCAGTGGCCACAGGACTGGAAATGGTCAGTTTTCATTCCAATCCCAAAGAAAAGCAATGCCAAAGTATGTTCAAACCACCACACAATTGCGCTCATCTCACACGCTAGCAAAGTAATTCTCAAAATTCTTCAAGCCAGGCTTCAACAGTACATGAACTGTGAATTTCCAGATATTCAAGCTGGATTTAGAAAAGACAGAGGAACCAGAGATCAAATTGCCAACATCCCCTGGATCATAGAAAAAGCAAGAGAGTTCCAGAAAAACATCTATTTCTGCTTTATTGACTATGCCAGAGCCTTTGACTGTGTGGATCACAGTAAACTCTGGAAAATTCTGAAAGAGATGGAATTACCAGACACCTGACCTGCCTCCTGAGAAATCTGTGTGCAGGTCAAGGAGCAACAGTTAGAACTAGACATTGAAAAACAGACTGGTTCCAAACTGGGAAAGGAGCACATCAAGGCTGTATATTGTCACCCTGCTTATTTAATTTATACGCAGAGTACATCATGTGAAATGCTGGGCTGGATGAAGCACAAGCTGGAATCAAGATTGATGGGAGAAATATCAATAACCTCAGATACGCAGATGACACCACCCTTATGGCAGAAAGCAAAGAACTAAAGAGCCTCTTGATGAAAGTGAAAGAGGAAAGTGAAAAAACTGACTTAAAATTCAACATTAAAAAAGCTAACTAAAAAAACTGAGATCATGGCATCTAGTCCCATCACTTCATGGCAAATAGATGGGGAAACAATGGAAACAGTGAGAGACTTTATTTTGGGGGGCTCCAAAACCACTGCATTTGGTGACTGCAGCCATGAAATTAGAAGACGCTCACTCCTTCGAAGAAAAGCTATAACCAACCTAGACAGAATACTAAAAAGCAGAGACATTACTTTGCTGACAAAGGTCTGTCTAGTCAAAGTTATGGTTTTTCTAGTAGTCATGTATGGATGTGAGAGTTGGATCATAAAGAAAGCTGAGCGCCAAAGAATTGATGCTTTTGAACTGTGGTGTTGGAGAAGACTCTTGAGAGTCCCTTGGACTGCAAGGAGATCCATCCAGTCCATCCTACAGGAGATCAGTCCTTGGTGTTCATTGGAAGGACTGATGTTGAAGCTGAAACTCCAATACTTTGGTCACCCGATGCAAAGAACTGACTCATTTGAAAAGACCCTGATGCTGGGAAAGATTGAAGGCAGGAGGAGAAGGGGATGACAGAGGCTGAGATGGTTGGATGGCATCACTGACTCGATGGACATGAGTTTGAGCAAGCTCCGGGAGTTGGTGATGGACAGGGGAGCCTGGCATGCTGCAATGCATGGGATCACAGAGTCATATATGAATGAGCGACTGAACTGAACTGATGGTTTTCCAATAGTCGTGTATGGATGTGAGAATTGGACCATAAAAGGCTGAGCACTGAAGAACTGATGCCTTTAAATTGTGGTGCTGGAAAAGACTCAACAGTCCCTTAGACTGCAAGGAGATCAAACCAGTCAATCCTAAAGGAAATCAGTCCTGAATATTCATTGGAAGGATTGATGCTGAAGCTGAAACTCAAATACTTTGGCCACCTGATGCAAAGAGCCGACTCATTGGAAAAGACCCTACTATTTAGAAAAGACCCTGATGCTGGGAAAGATTGAAGGCAGAAGGAGAAGGGGATGAAAGAGGATAAGATGGTTGGATGGCATCACCAACTCAGTGAACATGAGTTTGAGCAAACTCCAGGAGTTGGTGAAGGACAGGGAAGCCTGGTGTGCTACAGTCCGTGGGGTCACAAACAGTCAGACATAACTGAATAACTGAACAACAGTATTCATTTAATTCTTCAAATATTAATTTATTTAATGTTTTAATACTTCCTTTAAGCTGTCCTTAAGCTCTCTTTTTGACTTACACATTTTTAAACATCCAGCCTTACTAGAACCAGCTTAATATATTTCATCTATATTATCTCTCAGTTTTCTTTGAAAAATGGGTTAATATTTGCTTTAAAACCTATGCAGATTAAGATAACTGAAAATTATCTATAACAATATTGTAACATTCTTACAGTATTTCAATATAAAATTAAGTATGAATAGGTTTACCTAACACTAAAGTGATCTCCTCAGTATTAATATGGAATTCACAGGACAACTTGAAAACTTTTAAAAATATGGGGAAAATATTTTAAATCTATATGTGAGGTAGCCCACATGTTCTCACAGTTTCTATCTTGTTCATTTGCTAATTTTCTTGCTTCCTTCCATACTTTGTTCTTTTCTTTTTAAATTACTTTCATTAAATTTTTTGACTACGCTAAGTGTTCATTGCTTTGTGTGAGCTTTCTCTAGTTTCAGTGAGTGAAGGCTACTCTTCACTGTGGTGCACGGGCTTTTCATTGCATTGGCTTCTCTTGTTGCAGAAAACAGGCTCTCGGTGCACAGGCTTCACTAGTTGCAACTCATGGGCTCAGTAGTTGCGACTTGTGGGCTCTAGAGCTTGGGCTCAGTAGTTGTGGTGCTTGGGCTTAGTTGCTCCAAGACGTGGGAAATCTTCCCAGACCAGGGATCAAACCTGTGTCCCCTGCATTGGCAAGCAGATTCTTATCCTCTGTGCCTCCAGGCAAGTTCTAAATTACTTTCTTTCTACTCTAAATAAATGATACATAGTTGTTATAGAAAATTTAGAAAATACAGGTAAGAAAACCAAGAAAATTAAAATTACCTATAATTCCAGCATGCAGAGATAACTACTGTTCTTAATCCATTAACATTCTTGTCTACATCCTTCCAATATTATTAATATTTTTGCTTTTTAAAAATGGAATCATAATATACACTGTTTTGTTAGCCTGCTGTTTTTCATTTAATACTATATCTTGAAAATACCTCCCTGCCACCATTTATTCTTGTACAACCTTTTAAGAGTCTTACAATTGACTTTAAATTAATTTCTGTTTATGTCTGATAAAGACTTGTGGCTCCTTTTTCTTTTCTGTTGGGGAGAAGGTAGCAAGAAGCTCAGTTCCCCTTTTAAAGATAAAGACAACTTTATCAGTGTCTGTAGGCTTCTCCTTTGGGGCTTTTCTGCATGCCAAGACTCCTGGCCTGCTGTTTTCTACCTACCTTCCAAAACTGTCATCACGTTCAGGATCATTGATATATTTTGTCTTAACAAACCCCACATGAACTCCAGAGACACCTCAAGAGGAATCCTAGACCATACATCTCTAATTTTCCTTAGCTGCATGTAAAAATCATCTATGGAGGAACTCAAAGTTCTCCTTTACATTGAAATAATAGCAGTTGTGTCACATACTCAGACAAAAAGACTTGATAAAAGTGATGCCCATGCACACCCACACTGTTTGTTCCAATGAAATCATAGGTAGAATGGGGAAATAATCCTAGCACTCTCTGAGGAAGAGAATTTCTAGTCTTTAATTGTTTCAGGTAGACAGGAGTGTTAAGAAAGGCAGCTCATAATTAACCTATAAGAAAATTCTTGAATATGATAGAACCTAATCATCTAGGCTTTTCCAGCCAAGCAAATTGCATTCTTTCTCCATGCGTATCTTTAAATTGCAATCCTGTTGGATTACATACTGGAAATTATTTAATCTAACCCTAGGCAGTGACCATGTTTTAAAGCTTACATTTAAGCAACAGATCTCTACAAATTGATTTTGAGACTGACTTCATTCCTTTTGAAGGATGGTTTGAAATGGGCCTCATGCTGGAACCAATTTTTCAAGTGTATTTGAAAATGAGTAAAGCTACCTTCTCATAGTAGATGAGTCTCCATTAGTAAAATACACATTGTGTGGTTTCCATAATTATGGCATTACATTTTTTCCAATAAAATTGCCAGTAGGGAGAAGAAAGTTCTTTGAGATAGTGTTTAGAGTCATTTTTTTATTAAAAATTGGAGATTGCTAGAGCTATTTGAAAATTCAGATAATACTTGGAAAATGTTTATTAGTTAATGAAACAATTTAATTATAGGGGGAAAATACATTTCTTGGAGATTGCTTAAACATTTTTTGTACCAAATAATACAGAAAACAAGGAAGACTTTTAAGAAGGAGATAACCTAGAAAAGGATGGTTGGAGATCAATTCTCTTTCCTTTTTTCTCCATGATTGGATCTCCAGAAAATTTTTTGAATTATTTTTGTTTTCAGTTTCACATGACTTCTTATCAAACTAATCTGGGATATAAATTGGTGTATAATATCAGTATAGTATACCAATATCAAAAATACCAAATAATTATCTGTTCTTAGCTCAAATAGTATAAGTTGGTAATTCAGTGTTACAACTGAAAAACATCTTAGAAATGTTTAGCTCTTTCTTGTACTTTTTCTCCCAAATTTAAAAGAACACAAAATAATTTTAAAATCTGACTCCCAGGCTTAAAATTATTTACTGCATAATCAGTTTTACTGCATAGTCTGTAAAGAATGCTTTATTTAGAACTAGCAAATTTGTTTTCTGCCAATAATAAATTAAATTGTCTTTTACAGTTCTCAAGTGACAAATATGAGGACCCAACTCTCATTCAACATTCAGGCCCTTGCAGTTTGGGCAAATATATGTTTAACAAGAAAGTGAGTAAAGTAATTCCTTTTTCTGTAATTTTTTCCATGTTCATTAATTGAATTAATATAGTCACTATATCATTATGGCAAATAGATGGGGAAACAGTGGAAACAGTGGCTGACTTTATTTTGGGGGGCTCCAAAATCACTGCAGATGGTGACTGCAGCCATGAAATTAAAAGACACTTACTCCTTGGAAGGGAAGTTATGACCAACATAGAGAGCATATTAAAAAGCAGAGACATTACTTTGTCATCAAGGCCCATCTAGTCAAAGCTATGGTTTTTCCAGTAGTCATGTGTGGATGTGAGTGTTGGACTATAAAGAAAGCTGAGCACCGAAGAATTGATGCTTTTGAACTGTGTGGTTGGAGAAGACTCTTGAGAGTCCCTTGGACTGCAAGGAGATCCAACCAGTCCATCCTAAAGGAGATCAGTCCTGGGTGTTCATTGGAAGGACTGATGTTGAAGCTGAAACTCCAATACTTTGACCACCTGATGCAAAGAGCTGACTCATTTGAAAAGACCCTGATGCTGGGAAACATTGAGGGCAGGAGGAGAATGGGACGACAGAGGATGAGATGGTTGGATGGCATTACCAACTCAATAGACATGGGTTTGGGTAGACTCTGGGAGTTGGTGATGGACAGGGAGGCCTGGCGTGCTGCAGTTCATGGGGTCACAAAGAGTCAGACATGACTGAGCAACTGAACTAAACTGATGTCATTATATAGAACACTGCCAGTAGTATTTTATATTCCAAATAAATGACTGTGACCAGTTCTATAAAGGCAAATATATATTGCTTTTTTGCTAGTTTTTTTTCTGATTATAAATTAATGACTTTGAAAGATTGATTAATAATCTAACTAGGTGAGCCATCTGATGTCTTAAACTTCTGGTTGGATCTCTTACTCTCTCCACAGTCAATCATTATTGTTGCTTTGCAAAAGAGCCAAGCAATTATTTGAACTCCACTGAAGATAAAAGTAACCTCTGATGATAAAAGGAAACCTAAAAAATATCACACTATTAACCTCTGTTAATTTCTTATTCACTGACTTTCTAGTCTATTGAGTATATTCTTATATAAATGTATATTTGCGTATATACTTATTGTTTTATTTCCTTTACCCTTAACATTATAGTGAGCATTTTTCCATACCATAAGAAATACTTAGAATCATTTAAATTTCTGTATAATAGTCCATTCTAAAACCTGGGACAATTAATTTAAATGTTTTCCTATTTAAGAGTCTTAGATTGCTTCCACTCTTTCCACTACTGTAAATAAATACCAAGGCATTATTATGGATTAATTCTTATCCAGTATTTCTGATTCTTACTTAAAGATTTATGCCCACATATCAAATTACTGGGTCAATGAATGTGAATATTTTTTAAGGCTCTTGATATATTGATATATTATCAAATTAATTTTTCTTGAACATTGTACTAACATACATGCTCATAAAAGTTCATTCTCACCAGCATTGAGATTTGTCATTTTTAAATTTTTATTATTTTGATGCATGAAATTATTCTTTTGTTTTGCATATGTGTGAAAGTGAAGTCTCTAAGTCGTGTCCAACTCTTTGTGACCACATGGACTGGAGTCTACCAGGCTCTTCCATTCATGGGATTCTCTAGGCAAGAATACCGGAGTGGGTTGCCATAAGCTTAAATTTAATAGGATTAGTAATTTATATTTCTTCTGCAGATTTTAATTTCATATTTTTTGCTGCATAGTTCCAAGTTATGCTTATAATATGTAATGCAATGTGGCTTGTTACTATGTTTTGGTTATCTATTCCAACTCACATTTTTAAGCCTAAGGTCATTCTTTGTTCCTATTTAAAAATGGAAAGGTTTTTAGTTCCAAATATTTTTCCTATAGCTTATAACTGTAATATTATTAATATTCATGTCACATAAGTAATTTTGGACATATTTTAATTTTTTTATAGGGACAGACAGAGCCCATCATTAGTATGGCTTTTTACTGGAATGTTTTGCGTTTATTCATTGTTCTTTGCCTGGAGGGCAAATTTAGATATTTCAAAACCGCTTTTCATGGGTGTGGTAAGTTTTGCCTAGATATATCCTTTGACCAGAAGGTTCGTGAAGAATGTACAAATCTGTCTTTCATGAATCTTGTAGAAGGACAAGCTGTCTCAGAAATAGTTAAAATTTTGCATGAAGGGAAGTGAAGTGAAAGTCACTCAGTCATGTCCAACTCTTTTGAATGTTGTAGTGGGTAGCCTTTCTCTTCTCCAGGGAATCTTCCCAACCCAGGGATCAAACCCAGATCTCCAGCATTATAGGTGGATTCTTTACCAGGTGAGCCACAAAGAAAGCCCAAGAATACTGGAGTGAGTAGCCTGTCACTTTTCCAGGGGATATTCATGACCCAGGAATTGAACCGGGGTCTCCTGCATTGCAGGCAGATTCTTTACCAACTGAGCTATCAGTGAAGCCCTGATATTGTGTATACATGATCAGGCTAAGGCCTCTTTTGGGGGGTGAGGAAGCATAGTTTCATTAACACAATAGTTAAATAGAAAAATAAATGTAAGGTAGATTTAAGTTAGTCATTTTATGTGTGTGCTTGCAGATATGTTAATAGGAACCACTACATTTCTTCTGGAATTTTTTAAAATAGCTTGATGAAAATGTTTGATGGTGTGGGGAGATCAATGAATGCATTGTTGATGATTTTTATTAGTGGGTATGATTTCTGAATGTTGGTCATTAGTATTCTTATAGTTGAATAACAATGATGGTTTTTCATATCATTACTTGTGGTAAATTCCATGTAAGAATAATGATAACATCCATCATATTTAAGTACTATTTTTGTGATTGGTTTTGTGGGGTTTTCTTCAAAACCTTCACCTATTTATCAGAGGCTCATGTTAATTGTAAGAGGTGGTGTTGGTTGTGGTATTATATTGAATTTTGGTGGTTCTTTTTTAGGATTAATGGTGTTTTTCATTTTTTTAGAGGGGGATGTTGGTAGTATTTGGTTATACAATGGCTATGGCTACTGAGCAGTATCCTGAAGTTTAGGTTTCTAATAAGACTGCCTTAGGAATATTCCTTTCTGGTTTACTTATGGTGTTTTCAGTGGTTTTTTACACGCTGAGGATGCGGAGTTGGAAATTGTATTTAAATGTAGTGTTTTAGGGACTGAGCCTCCCTGGGGGTTCAGCTGGTGAAGAACCCACCTGCAGTGCAGGAGACTCGGCTCAGGCCCCGGGCTGGGAGGATCCCCCGGGGGAGGGCACGGCAGCCCGCTCCAGAACTCTTGCCTGGAGAATCCCACGGACAGAGGAGTCTGGTGGGCTGCAGCCCATGGGATCGCAGAGAGTCAGACACCACTGAGTGACTAACACTTTCACTTTCTTTTTCACATTTCTTCTGGAACTTTTTTAAATAGCAAAGAAATATGGGTTGTACTTAGGGTCTCTACCAACATATTCCCTCATTTTCTTACCTCACCAGTCCACACCTGTAGAAAACAGGAAGTATATTTCAATTTTCCCTGACTATAATATCTGAGATTAGAGTATTTCTTCTCCTTAGAACACAAACTATGTAAATGTAGATAGCAGCCAAAACCAGCTCTGTGTGTGTGTGTGTCTTTCCAAGAGACCTGAGGAATAATACCTTATTTGAGTACCTGAGTTCTGAATCAGTTGAGAACAAGATAAACCAGTACATTGGGTGGGAGAATCACCTTTGTTACCAATAACGATGGGGTTGGAGAATGTGGTTAATATCTGTGGGCAAGGGAGCCTCCTCATCCTGTATCCCTGAACAGTTCAATCATTAGCAGTGCTGCTCAGGACCGGCCTCTTCCCTCCCCAGTTCACCTCACCCCAAAGTCTGCCCCTGGACAAGTGCTTCTTGTGGGCGACTCACTTCCAAGAGAAAGAAGAGGAAAGAGGAGAGCCCTGCAGGCCCAACCCCCAGACTCTCCAGTCAGCTCAGTCCCTACAATCCTTCCAGAAGAAATAAGTGAGGGGAAAGAGTGTTATACTGGTGGGGCTTCTCACAGAAGGAAACATCAGGAGTTAAGCAAAAGCATTTCTCCACCTCTTCAACTTTGCACGTTAGGGTAAAAAATTCAAGATTAAGTGTGCAGTATAGAAAAGACTGTGTGGATCCAAAAAGGGAGATCCATATGTCCAACAGGGAAGGAAAAATGCTTGAAAATGGAAAAATCAAGTGACATGGAGTTGAGTTGGGGAAGTCAGTTAAGAAGACATAAATGACACAGGCATAAGCAACTATATGCATGCAATATATATTTTAAAATATATAAATACCTGATCGAATACATAAAACAGTCAGTTGGATTCACTGTTCCCATGCCTCGTTCACAGGTGGAACGATTCTGGATGCAGAGCAATGCAGTGGTGGCTGTCCTTGCTGGCATCGGTTTGGCTGCCCTTGTATCTGAGAGTAACCGAATGCTCAACACCAACGGGCTTCAGTATCTGGAATGGCTTTCAGCAATTCTTTTTGTAACTTGCCAAATATATTCTAACTATAGGTAATACTTGGTTATTTTTATGAAAAGTAGCTTTCCAGCCAGAGACATTTGGGATATTTAGATACTAGGGCTTTGTTTTATCTTTACCTTCCACTAGTTTTCAAAGTAAAATAGCTTGATCTGAATGCAGTGGTTGTTAAACCTTTGAACAAGAATCTCAGGATGAGTAATGTATAGTTTCAGGGCATTACAAACAAGGGTTCAAGTGGTGCTTGTAAACTATCTGTGTATTTTCCACTAAAAGAGATCGTAGAGCTACTTTGTACAATCTTGGATGGCATCAGTGACTCCATGGACAAGAGTTTGAGCAAGCTCTGTGGAGTATATGTAAAATTCCATGATCTAAAATACCACTTAGATGGAGAGTAAAGACATTTGAAGTTTTGCTTTTGTTTGTTTTTGCCATACCACTAGGCTTGTGGGATCTTAGCTCCCCAACCAGGGATCGAACCTGCACTCCCTGTGTAGAAGCACAGAGTCTTAACCAATGGACTGGCAGTTCAGTTCAGTCACTTAGTCATGTCTGACTCTTTGTGACCCCATGGACTGCAGCAGACCAGGCTTCCCTACCCATCATCAACTCCCGGAGCTTGCTCAAGCTCATGTCCATGGAGTCATTGATGCCATCCAACCATCTCATGGACTGGCAGGGAAGTCCCAATTTGGGCGTTTTTTGTATGCCTTAAAATAATTCACTTTGTGCTTCAAAGAATTTGTCTTTTGAGTAATCCTTGGCCCTTATCTAGTATACACTGTAACAGTGTATATTAAATATTTTGAATAATCAAAGTTCTGAAAGTTTCTTAACCCTTATGCATTATTAGTGTTGTTTGTATTTTTCAAAATCTGCTTAATGACCCTTATAATGTAAATGTCAGTCAAACATAAAAGATGTAAAGGCTTAGGTGATAGTTCATTTATTTGCAGGAATATTGAGTAAACTTTATAGAAGTGGAAGAGTCCACCAGAGTTTTGTTATAGTGAGATTTGATTGGTACTTTAAAAGATGGCAGTTCCCCTTTCAACTTAACTTTAAAAGCCAATGTACTTTATAATGCTGAGGAACAGCCATGTTAGGGACACTGTGTCACCAGGAGGCCTTGTAGGAAGGGGAGGCAGATTCCTGATACAACTCCATAACTGGCTCAAGAAGGGTTTGCCAGGCCCATAGTGTGTTTCCCACCCCTCTTTTATCCCATTCTTCTCCTGGCTCAGGTCTTTAGGGCAACTCAGTTTCCACACCAGGGATGCCTGCACAGACTGGGTGGCTTGGTTTGTTTTGGATTCTTTTTTGCCCCCAGGTGAATGGAACTTTGCTGGGTGGCAAAAGGTGAGGCATCAGCCTACAAAGTAGGGAATCACAGTAGGAAACATTTGTCTCATCAGTTACAAAGTCAGGGATAGTATTTTGTTCCTGGAAGTATTAATTTGCTTTGTGATGCTAACTCAGTGATTCAACTTTAGGCTGTGTTTCTTAACACCATTACATGTAATGGAACTGATAATAAGAGGAAGGACCAAAAAAAAGAGGAAGGACATTTCTTGTTCAGTTTTTTGATACTTTTTCTCTCTTATATTCATTTTCTTTTTGTGTGGAAAGCTCTGAGAATTCATGCCAGTTTTTCCTTTGAAGTTAAAAAGTCCACTTCATCATTGAAAAGAGCTATCCTGCTATTGTTGGCAACAGTAAATAATGCCTGGAGAGAAGTAAATATCTCAACAAATTATTCCTTCCCTTCTTTCTCATTGGGTTCATCCCCTAGTGATAAGCAGCTTCAGTCTAGAAGGGAGAGAGGAACACAGAGAGCCAGTGGTCCAGAAAAGTGGTGGAAAGGATCAACCTCTACATGCTCTCTTGCATGTCAGACAAATGTGCAAATTTATGCCAGAAACTGGCAAATTTCCTTTTGCATTTTTGAAAATCCCTACGAACTAAATGGAAGTAACATGAAATTACCTTATACTCCAAATGGAATCAAAAACCTTACTTCTTTTTAGTGAAATTGGATATGTTTTTAGGGGTAAAAAGTACTCAATATTGAGTACTAACTGGTTCCCTTTTTATGGAAATGATTATAAATTCCAGAAGTAAATCAGTATGCTGATTTTTTTCACTAGCACAATTAGTTCTACCTTTTTTTCCCCAGTTAGTAGTGTTCCCTTTCAAATATATGCATCCTCTTAGAAGATATGTTAGAATATTTAAAACACTAAGTGTAGATTGTGTAATGGGAAAGGAATGGAGTGGGGAATAAGCCTAGTCTTATAAAACCAAAATAATATGTTGCTATTTTAATATTTTGTAATCCTTTTATTTAGCATTTGTGACCAAAGGACCAACTATGTGATTGATAAATTTGCAAAGAACCTTCTATCCTCTATGCCTCGGGATGCAATTATCTTACTCAGAGGGGATCTGCCAGGGAATTCTCTCCGTTACATGCATTATTGTGAGGGACTGAGGCCAGATATTTCATTAGTGGATCAGGAAGTAAGTATGTGAGAAATATACTTAAAATATAGTAGTAGCAATTGTTTTAAAACATGTGTATTTTAAAGAACTATTTCTTTTTTTTAACAGTGCATGAGTACAGTTTTCATGATCACTCTGAGGTAAAATATGTATCACATTCTTTCCTTTATTGTAACTAATAGGATAAGTCATGTGTTTCTTCTTTCTTTTTTAAACTGAGTGTTTTAAGAATTTATATGTCTCAGATTCAAGCAACATCCTAGGTCTCTAGTTCACATGACAGACCATGACAATACTGTGTTGTAAATTTATTTTTAAATTGTTCTTTTACATCCAGTCAGCTCAGCCATTCAAATTAACACTGCCCACTGGTCCAGGGATTAAAATAAATTAGGCTGACTGTAAAATAAATCATACTGCAAGTAAGTAAACATTGCACTCAAAATAGAAATTATTAACCACAATTCTGTTATAGAATTTGTAAATTTTGTAGATCTTATGACAAAAGTATGTTGGGAAAGGACTTGTGAAAATTTCAAGGTCTCTTAAAATAATCTTCTGGAACTAAAAAAAATGTATTTAAACTATAGGATTTATTGTTTAAGCCATAAATAGTTAAAGGGAACAAATCTATCTCTGGTCTTTTTAGAACAGTCATCAGGAAAAGAGAAATTCTTTTTTTTTTTTTTCCATTTATTTTTATTAGTTGGAGGCTAATTACTTTACATCATTGCAGTGGTTTTTGTCATACATTGAAATGAATTAGCCATGGATTTACATGTATTCCCCATCCCGGTCCCCCCTCACACCTCCCTCTCCACCCGATCCCTCTGGGTCTTCCCAGTGCACCAGGCCCGAGCACTTGTCTCATGCACCCAACCTGGGCTGGTGATCTGTTTCACCCTAGATAATATACATGTTTCGATGCTGTTCTCTTGAAACATCCCACCCTCGCCTTCTCCCAGAGTCCACAAGTCTATTCTATACTTCTGAGTCTAGGAGAAATTCTTAACCTTGAAAAAGTATTACTAGTTTTATTGAGCAAACTAAAGGCACAATACTGATTTTAAAAATTTTTTGCAAAAACAATACTTATTTAATACTTTCATTCAATTAATAAATAATTTAAAATTTTTGGAACACTTTAAACATTTGCAAATATAGGGAAATTTGAAAATCACACATATTTTTATAAGCAGTTTGCATGTATGTCATGTACACTGATGATTAATTTGGCCTTGATTAAAATGATCTAGAATATGACAAAAGCTAGATCATTTGTTAATAATATGGTATACCATAATTTTAAATACAGGTACTATGGTTGAGGAGCTTGGATTTCAAAGTTAATTCAACCTGAATTCACATCCTTATCCTCTCACTTCCTAAATGTGTGACTTAGGGCTAAAGAGTTTTCCTTTCAGAACTTCTGTTTCCCTGTCTATTAAATGGAAATAATCATTAGATAAGTAAGTTAGGATGCTTTCGAATGTAAGAAACAAAATCTCTGACTAAGAGTAGCTTAAACTATGGAATTTTTAACCTCACAAAACAAGTAGTCTGGAGAAAGGAGCTTTTAGGATTGATAATACAAGCAGTTCCATGATGGCCATGTTCTAGGGCAGCTTTTCTGCAGGTCTCTTGAACTGAAGGATGCCTGGTTCCAAACATTGCATGCAAAGTGCTTCTTCTGAGTTCTCTCTCTCTCTCTCTCTGTATTGGGAATAACATGTGCCCCAGATGCCCCTGCCAGACCTCTATTCAGGCCCCACTAACCAGTATTGGGTCACATGACTACTCCAAAGACTACTCACTAGCAAAGAAGAATGACTGTAACTCCCTGATTAAAACCAGGATTGTGTTAGTTGAAAAGAAGGATTGGCTTTTGAGTGGGCAATCAACAGTATCAGAAATAATTATTCTCACATAATAAAGTTATTATGAGAATTGAATGAGAAACAGTAAGGTCCTAGTACATAGTGGGTATTTAATGAATGTTCAGTTCAGTTCAGTCACTCAGTTGTGTCCAACTCTTTGCAACCCCATGAATCGCAGCACGCCAGGCCTCCCTGTCCATCACAAACTCCCAGAGTTTACTCAAACTCATGCCCATCGAGTCGGTGATGCCATCCAGCCATCTCATCCTCTGTCGTCCCCTTCTCCTCCTGCCCCCAATCCCTCCCAGCATCAGGGTCTTTTCCAATGAGTCAACTCTTTGCATGAGGTGGCCAAAGTACTGGAGTTTCAGCTTCAGCATCAGTCCTTCCAATGAACACCCAGGACTTATCTCCTTTAGGATGGACTGGTTGGATCTCCTTGCAGTCCAAGGGACTCTCAAGAGTCTTCTCTAACACCACAGTTCAAAAGCATCAATTTTTCATCACTCAGCTTTCTTCATAGTCCACCTCTCACACCCATGCATGACCACTGGAAAAACCATAGCGTTGACCAGACGGACCTTTGTTGGCAAAGTAATGTCTCTGCTTTTTAATATGCTATCTAGGTTGGTCATAACTTTCCTTCCAAGGAGTAAGAGTCTTTTAATTTCATGGCTGCAGTCACATCTACAGTGATTTTGGAGCCCCAAAAAATAAAGTCTGACACTGTTTCCACTGTCTCCCCATCTATTTCTCATGAGGTGATGGGACCAGATGCCATGATCTTAGTTTTCTGCATGTTAAGCTTTAAACCAACTTTCTCACTCTCCTCTTTCACTTTCATCAAGAGGCTTTTTAGTTCCTCTTCACTTTCTGCCATAAGGGTGGTGTCATCTGCATATCTGAGGTTATTGAATGTTACTATTCCCAAATAGGGGCTTTCCTCATAGCTCAGTTGGTAAAGAATCCACCTGCAATGCAGGAGACTCCGGTTCGATTCCTGGATTGGGAAGATCTCCTGGAGAAGGGAATCTTCTCCAGTATTCTGGTCTGGAGAATCCGTGGACTGTATAGCCCATGGGGTCACAAAGGGTCAGACATGACTGAGCGACTTTGACTTTGACTTTTGATTCTCAAATACTTAAACTATTGGGAAATAAACTCTAATTCAATAAGTATTTTTGGAGTATTTCCAATATGTTGTTCAGTAGCTAAGTTGTGTCCGATTCTTTTCAGCACTGTGGATTGTATCCTGCCAGGCTCCTCGGTCCATAGAATTCTCCAGGCAAGAATACTGAAGTGGGTTGCCATGCCCTCCTCCCGGGGATCTTCCCAATGCAGGGATCAAACCCACATCTCCTGCATTTTAAGTGGATTTTTTACCACTGAGCCACCAGGGAAGCACCCTCTACATACTTAGATTAAAATTAATTTGTCACTTTTAGTTAAATGATTTGTAGAGACAAGTAAAACATAAACATAATTGCTCAAGTGATAATATCCAAACTTTAATGAAGTCTTCTTTAAAAAATTAAATCTGTACATATAAAATTGTAGAATGAAGTATATATTAAGTATAGAATTAAGAAAAAAATTTTAATACTAATGATTTATTTTAACCGAAAGAATATGTAAGGACATGTAATTAATTTGGAGTTATTAATAAATTCAGATTATTTAGCCATGGGGTTTTTAACTTTGAGGCCTAGGTTATATGATTGAACTTCTCAAGGGCAGGGATTATATCTTCTTCACTATAGGTCAAGCACTACTTGTTTTTGTTTTCTGAATTAAATGAATGAAAGAACAGAGTTATGACACACCTCTTTATTTTGCCTAGGTTGTCTAGTCTGGCCATCAAAAAGACATTTCAGCTTCAGCAAACATAGTTTGGGAACTATTCTGTGCCAGGCATTGTGCTAGGTGCAGAGGCAATGAGGTGATAAGATAGGAGCTCTCAGTCTAGTGAGGAATAGGCTAGAAGCTATAGTCAAGGTAGGCACATAGTGCTACAGGAGCATCTTGTTCTGCTGTGAAAACTGGGGAGGACATCCTGGAGGAAGTGATGCTTAAGCTGGTTCTGAAAGTTCAGTACACTCCCTAGGTATAAGCATAGTAAGTCCTTCTGGTCATAGACTAGGTGCTGATTTTATTGATAGCTGATAATTATAACTTAAGACATAAGATCTAAGGGCCTAGTCATTAGAAGAATAGTGGCACATACCTTGGTTGCATTTGTATGTGTTTTTCAATTATGTTTATATTTAATGAGTAACTCCACATTTGGTAACTTCTTCATCGTCCTTGATAAACTTGGTTCTTTTTTAAAAAACATATTAAAAACATGATATCACATGTTATCTTTCTGGCAGATGATGACTTACGAGTGGTATTTACCCAAGATGGCAAAGCATTTACCAGGCGTCAGGTTTCCTGGGAACCGTTGGAATCCTGTGGAAGGAATATTACCTAGTGGAATGGTCACATTTAATCTTTATCATTTTCTTGAAGTAAATAAACAGTAAGCATTCTTTTCATATAATAGCTTTTCTAAAATCTTAAGCTTTTCTAAAATTGTTTATGTAGCAGCTGTGCTTCATCCAAAAGACCAATTTTCTACACCTATTTCCCTGTCACCGGTGAGATTATCTTTGTAATTAAATTGAATATCTGTGCATAAATGAGGCCAGGCAGAAATAAATGTTATTGTTCTGGGTAAAGGAAAAATAAAGACAGATTAGCAAGAATAGCAAATAAGATCTTAGTACAATTCAGAGAAATTGGAGATGTGCCTGCCTACTTGAAATCATTGCAGGTAGATCGCAAGCAATTATAGTTTCCCCCTGATCAACACCATGGCCCCTTTTTAAGTTTAATGCAAATGTTTTCTGGGAATAATCACTATATAAAAATAGCTTAAGGATTTTTTTCTAAAGGATAAGGCATTTTTATAAATAAGAAAAACACCTACAGTTATGCTGACTGAGATAACATATGAGAATTGTGAATTCTATACTTCAGAACATAAAATTATTCATAGTTAAGGTCAAGAATAAATAACTCCTGCAGTGGTATACTGTTGAATATTTTTCCTGTCCGTGAAATGCTTGGGATTGTCCAGAGCCTAAAGAAGAAAACTTATTTCATAATTTCTATTCTCTTATAAAGGGGATTTCAGAAATTTTTGTAAATTCCAAAGTTAAACTGTCCCTTACTAAGAACATAATGAGGTGGTACTTTGGTGTTCAGAGCCTGAAGTTTACTGTGGCTCATGAAGTAATATGAAGGTAATAGGTACAAATGTGCTGTGAGATTAATAATTAATTGTTCTATTTTGGAATAAAATATTAACAACATCTCCTAATAAGCATTTTTGGTGCACTTTATTTAATTTAACCTCGTAAACATTAATTGAACCTACTATGTACCAGTTTGTATTAGGCAATAAAGTGAGACTCAGTTCCAGATTTAAGTAGACTACAGTCTAGTTTGTATATATACATAGATATGAATACAGTTGACCATAATGGTGTAAGCTCTGTACTAACAAAGCCTTGTAAAGTGTGAGACACAGTAAATGTTCAATGTGTGCTTACTAAATCAATGACTTAATTGACAGTATAAGCCTAATGTTCTGGGACCATGGATGAGGAAGCAATTAATTCTGCCGAGGGGCATTCATTCAACGTTTATTTAATAAATGTTGGGTATTCAAAATGTCCCAACACCTGTACTAGCTGTAGGTGGATGGGTGTGATCCCTGCTGTTACCATCTTTGAGACAGATGTCAAGTGATGCCTTAAATGTGAAACAGATAAGTTACAGTATCAGCTGGTAAGCATGATAATACTGGTATGGATGAAATTTGGAGACTCAAAGACTAAGAATTTGCCAAGTGGGTAGGAACAGTTAGGATACAGAACAAACCCATGACCCCAGAAGCTCCCTTTTGCTGCTCCTTTGTTGTTGAACTGTCCCCAGACCCCTAACCCTCACCACCTCTGTTACTATGGTTTTACCTTTTCCAGATGTCATATAAATGGACTCATAAAGTATGTGACTTTTTGATACTAGCATACCTTACTTAGCAAGACACCTCTGAGATCCTTCCAAGTTATTGTTGTGTATCAATAGTTTATTCCTTTTTGTTACTGATTAGTATTCCTTTGTATGGATGTACTGCAGTTTATCCATTCATCTATTCAAGGACATTTGGGTTGTTTCCAGTTATTTGTGAATAGAGCTGCTATAAACATTCATATACAGGTTTGTGTATGAATATGTTTTCACACCTAGGAGTGGGATTATTGGATTTATTGGATTGTTTGTTTTCTTACTATTGAGTTTTAAGAGTTCTGTGTATATTCTATATTCAAATCTTTTATTAAATATGTGATATTTTCTCCCAGTCTTTTTGTTCTCTTCAAAGTGTCTTTTGCAGGTAATTTTTTTTTTATTTTGATGAAATCCAATTATCATATTTCTCTTTTATGGATCATACTTTTTGATCTCCTGTCAAACAACTCTTGCCTAATGCCAGGTCACAAAGATTATCTCATGTTTTCTTCTAAGAGTTTTACAGTTTTATGTTTTATATTTCAGATCAAAAATCACTTTTGAGTTAATTTTTGCAAGGGGGTTGCTTAGAACAAAGATATTTTTGCCTATGAATGTTATTTTGTCCTCATATCATTTGTTCAAAACATTTATTCTTTCTTCATTTAATTGCATTTGCACCTTTTTCTGTATTTACAAAAAAAAAAATACTTCTGGGGTTTTTGACTGGTTTTAATTTGATTAGTTTTTTCATGGCGTATCTTTTTTTTCTTCCTTTTGCTTTTAGCCACCTATGTCATGTTTAAAGTGGGTTTCTTGTAGACAGCACATATTGACTCTTCTTTTATTATCCATTCTGACAATTTGTCTATCATTTCATTTATATCCAGGCCATTTGCATTGAATGTAAATATTGACATGTTTTAGATGTACATCTATCATTTTATTACTGTTTTCTGTTTTTCATTCCACTGTTTCCCATCCTGCTTTCTTTTGGATAATTTGATTGTTTTTAGCATTCCATGTTACTGTGTCTCTTGGTACATTTTTTCAGTGGTTGATCTTAGAATTACAGTATACAGACATATTTAACTTTCACAATCTGTTTACTACTTTTGGAGAAGGAAATGACAAACCACTCCAGTACTCTTGCCTGGAAAACCCCATGGACAGAGAAGCCTGGTGGGCAATAGTCCATGGGTCACAAGAGTCGGACATCACTTAGTGACTAAACCAATTTACTACTTCAAGTGAACTGTAGAAATCTTAGTGGCATGTAAGTTCCTTTACTCCACTTTTGATTGTGTTGTCAAACATGTTATATTAGACGTGATAATTTTTGTTTTCAACATATGTTTTTTAATTTAAGAGAAAAAGTAGTCTTAGATATTTGTTCAGATATTTACCAAATCTGTTGCTCTTCCTTCAATCCTGGTAGTCCAGCTTTCCATCTTGTATCACTTTTCTCCCTTCTGAAGTTAGTCCTTTAGTATTTCTTTCAGAGCAAGACTGTTAGCAGTGAATTCTCTTAGTCTTTCTTTACCCAAAAATGTCTTTATTTCACCTTCATTTTTGAAGGATATTTCTGGCTATGGAATTCTGGGTTGGATAGTTCTTTTTTTCTCTCACCACTTTAACAGTGTTATTTTATATCCTTTTGCCATGCATGGCTTCTGTTGAGAAATCTGCAGTTATTCAAATCATTGTTTCCCTTGTGTGAAATGTGTTGTTTTTCTCTTGACTGCTTTCAAGGTCTTTTGTCTTTAGTTTTAAGCAATTTGATTATGATGTATCTGGGCATGAATTTCTTTGAGTTTAACCTGCTTGGGATTTACTAAGTTTTGTGAATCTGAAAGATTATGTCTTTCACAAAAGTTGGAAGTTCTCTGACGTTATTTCTTTAAGTACTTTTCCTGCTCCACCTTTTTTCTCTTTTTCTGGGATTCTGATGACTCCCGTGTTAGACCTTTTGATATTGTTCCACAGGTACCTAAGACTCTATACTTTCAATATTTTTTCCTCTTTGTTTAAATTATACAATTTCTCTTGATCTAGCTTCAAGTTCATTGACACACATTCTGTCTTTCTAAAATTATATGAAGCCCATCCAGTGGAGGAGTAATGGGAATTTGCTCCCAATTCTTGGAACCCCAGCTCTTCTGGTTAGTGAGAAGCGTCCACTTGGGCAGTGTTACGGGAACCTGCCCAGCTGCCCCGTGCTGCTGCTTCTGCTGATGGCACAGTGTTGTCTGGTGCCTGGGGAAGGAGAGAAGGGGAAAAGTTCTGGGGATTTCCTCTGCTCTTCCAACCCTTACAAGTTCCTTTTCCTGCTGCTTGGACTCAGGAAAAAGCAAGGGGAAGGCTTCTCTTGAGATCTCTTTGTTCTCACTTGGTATGTATTTTGGGTTTCAGGCTTCCTTTGAGTTCAGGCCAGGTAATCCTGGAAGACGAAAAGGAGTAAACTCACCACGGATTTGGTAGAACTCAGAATTCTGCTTTCTTCCCTCAATCTTCTACCATTTACTGTTCAGAGTCTTCAGATAGTTGTTCCATGTTTAGATTTCAGAATTAATTTAGAGATAAAGAGCCTATCCTTAGGATACTTCTGGGCTACTCAGAAGGATTTGTAAATGAAAATAGTAGGTTCAATAAAATAATGCTAAAAGAGATTAAAAGTAAAATGCAGTGGAAATTGGAGGACAGAAAGACTACTAATATTAGTAGTTTTACTAATATGAAGACATGTTTCCACCTATAAAATTTAGAAGGTATCAAATAATATGTATATTTACACATGAGACAGAACCACAGACTATTTCCTTGTGTTTGTCCCCGCCTGATTTCTTACCATGTCACAAACAGGTAGGTTTTATTATTTATGTCTGTGTGCTTTCCTTCAATCCCCAGACAGCTTTTTTCCCCACTAATATAAATTTAAAGCAATCTATTGGCAGAGGTTTAAAGAAACCAAAGTGTTCACAAATGGTTTATTGGTAACTGAGGTTTAGAATCAAAAATGACCCTTCCTGAGTTAAATGTATTTGGCATTTAGAACTTTAAGCTGATAATACATATTTTTCTTTCTTCAATAGAAAAGAAACATTTGTTTGCATAGGAATTCACGAAGGCGACCCAACCTGGAAAACAAACTATTCACTTTGGCCATGGGGTTCTTGTGACAAATTAGTTTCTTCAGAGATTGTATTCAACCCTGAGGAGTGGATTAAACTTACGAGAAATATCTATAACTGGACTGAAGACTATGGAAGGTATGGAGAGCAGTTGTTTCCCATCAGTGTATAGCTGTTTTGTGTGCCTAAAAAACTTACTAAATTTTGAAATGACTTTTATTTTTTTGTTGTTGTTTGTTTTTTTATTAGTAGCTAATATTGCTATTTGCTGCCCACAGAGTATCGTGATAGAGAAGGAGAACATATATTTCTTGTCCTCAGGCTTGAAGGACAATGGAGAGGTGGAGGAAAGGCAGTGATGGTTAAGCGGGTACCATATAGTTAGATATGTGCCACCATCCACGTCCACTATTGTAATGCTACATGGTCCATCATCCTGTATCTCAGACCCTAAAAGTGGAAGAAATTCATTAACTGAAGCAGAGCTTTAAAACTCACTCTGTTGTCCCTAATAGTTTCCACACACATAAACTTGTCACTTTTTTTTTCTTCAGGAATGCCTGATCAGGGACTTCCCTGATGATCCAGTGATTAAGACTCCCCACTTCCACAGCAAAGGGCTCAGGTTCCATTCCTGGTCAGAGAACTAAGATCCTACCTGTCACATGGTGTGGTCAAAATAAGAAAGAGAAAAAAGAGTGATAGATCACTTCTCTGTAGGAAGACTGGGGTTTAAGTAACTTTTTCTTCACAGTTGTTTGTCGTTAGCCTTGTTCTGTTGTTTTGATTAGTCTTCCTGGAAGCATCTCTACCTATAGTTGACTCTCTCCCATGTGGAAAATGAGTCACCATCTGAAGATGTGGCTCTCTATTGCCTAATTTTTTAACTAAATTATGAATTATCCAAAGATTAGATAATTACTGCTTATAATTCAAGTGGGTAGCCGTTCTCTGCTCCAGAGAATCTTCCCAACCCAGGGATCGAACCCAGGTCTCCCACATTGCAGGCAGATTCTTTACCAGCTGAGCCACAAAGGAAGCCCAAGACTAGTGGAGTGGGTAGCCTATCCCTTCTCCAGAGGATCTTCCTGACTCAGGAATCAAACTGGGGTCTCCTGCATTGCAGGCAGATTCTTTACCAACTGAGATATCAGGGAGGCCTATAATTCAAGAGCAACACTCAAAATCATAGGAACAAATGCTACTGAAGTTTTCTGAGTCAATATGAGCAAACAGATCCCACTGCTATGCTCCAGCCAGAGCTGGATAAGTAGTTGTCTATCAAAGTACTCTGTGACCATTGTGAGGAAAAGCTGGAAAATCCCCTGTTCTCCAAACAGCTGATGACAGTGCAGATACACAGCGTCACTCACTGCCTCCAGTCTGTCAAAGTAGATACTTGCTAAGAGAAATTTTAATTAAGTGGGGAAAATAGGCAAATGGTTTAGCTAGGGCTCTTTAAGCAGCATCCTAGCTCCAACAGCGATTTATCAAAGCCAGGAGTCCCCTCTCCTCACAGTTCTACAGCTGTGCCCACAGAGGGACCCAGGCCTCACCCCCACCCCGCTGCCCACCTGACAGCTGACGCCCCAGAAGCCTCCGGCCTCTTCCCACTGAGCTTTAGTGTGCTCCTGTGATGCAGTGGGGCTCAGTATGCAGATCAAGAACACATTCACCAAACCTCAAATTCCTAACCATCAAAGATTTCAGGAGAATAAGTTTTGTTACTTTGGTCTCTATCCGTACTTCAAGATGCAACCTATTTTATTTGCCTTGTAAGATTATAAAACAAAAATGACATGTCCATAACAATAAAGGTAGCTGGCAGGAAAATGTTACGATTTTCTTCTAACTACAGGTTTGATCCTTCTTCCTGGGAATCTGTGGCCAATGAGGAGATGTGGCAAGCAAGGTGACTAATGTATACTTTCGGTTTGCAGTCTATTTTTAATGTAGTAGAAGTAGCTTGTGGCACTTTTCATTTGGGGAGCAGGGGGGGCATGGTGATAATAAAAATAGTATTTATGAGCAAGCATTTTGTTTGGGGCATTGTACTAATTGTTACTAAGGCATAATCTCTTTTCATCCATATAACAACCTGTGGAGAAGTCATTATTACTCCATTTTACAAAAAGAACAAACTGAAGGCAGAGAGGTTACTTGTCCAAGGCCGCATAGCTCTACCAATAGAGTCCAAAATTCACATCTCTCTGACTGGAACATTCGTCACTCCTGTGCTCTCCCGCCTCCACTAAACCAAAGTCAACATAATTGATTGAGGAGAAATTGATAATTACCACCCTGTCCCATGTGTGATGTGCTAGTTAGTTATTTAAACACTTATTGAAAACTTCCTAGAGACTAGGCACCGTGCTAGTCTTGGAGGCTACAACAGGAATATGACACAGTTCCTATTGTCAATGGAGCAGACAGACATAGTCCAAGAGATTTGACTATTCATGTACTAGATGCTGGACTTTCCTGTTCCTATGTGAAATGAACACTTCACGGTGATGCTCTTGTCTCTCTGTGTTCCTGCCATTATTTTAAAATAATCAAAATATCTAACACTAACAGACTTTGGCCTAAAATGTAAAAGGCCTAAGTGATGCAGACAGGGGTACCAAGTATGAAGTACTTCCGCCAGGAAAAATGGGCTGATGCCCACTCTGGGCCAGGGGCTGAGTGTACCAGGAATTGAGTTAGAGTGTAATATGTTTGTTTTTTTTTTGTAATATGTTTAAAGAGGGGTTTTTTTTAATTGTCAAGAAATATGGTTCTTGACAAAATAACAATTACAAAAAAGATAGTCTTTGTAGTAGTGTTTTGGAAATGTCAGAAAATTGCATATTTCAAGTTATCAACCCAGTTATAAGAACAAATACTTGCTTTGAGGGACTAATCAAAGATATACCAAATGTTCACATGATTCTTCAGTGTGACAGTGTGGGAAAGCTGGGGGAGGAATCACATAAAAGAAGAAAGCAGGTCATTATTCGGGCAGGTATTGATTTAATTGGTGTGCTGAATACAATTTGGATGAGTTCATGTGGTCAGAGAGTCCAGGCACACACGGCATGAGCTGTCGTGATGGGTACCTTCCGGGATGTGCTGACAGACTCAGCAAGTCTCCCGCTCCCAGCTGCTCTTGCACAGTGAATATGTACATCTGGAGGGAAGGTGATGCACGATAGTGATGATGAACAGAATGCAGTGTCTTGGTGTGGAGGGAGGGTTACTGTTGGTTCAGAGTAAACTTCTATGAATATGAAAGAAGTAAAAAGAATACAATAAAGGGTTCTGTATGATCCTCATCAATGGAAAAGTTTGGCGGATTTAGCTTTGAATGTGAAATTAACGTGAACACCCTCCCACTCCCAGGATGAAAACACCGTTCTTCATCTTTAACCTGGCAGAAAGTGCAAGTTTGCCTTCAAACGTGAAAGCTCAACTCTACACTCACGCCTATAACGTATGTTGCACTTTTACATATATAAATACATTTGGTGGGAGGGTAGTGGTGACTTTGGGATGTTAAGAGTGTATCACAGTAGAGTTTTACTTTTTTGTTTCTAGCTTTATTTGGCATTATAAATCAATACAAATGGAAAAATAGTCATGTGTCTCTCAAATAACATTTAAAGTAAATGACTGTTGTTGACAAAATAATGTAAGAAGTCCATGTTCTCATCTCCAGAATTTGTGAATATGTTGTCTTACATGGCAAAGGGCACATTGCAGATGTGGTTAAGGGTCCTGAGGTGGGGAGATTATCCTAGATTATCCAGGTGGGGCTAATATAATCACAAGGGTCCCTAGAAGGAGGAGGCAGGAAGGTCAGAGTCAGAGAAGGAGACGTGGCATTGCAAGCAGAGGTCAGAAAGAGATTTGAAGATTGCCAGGTAGCTGGCCTGAAAGATGGAGGAAGGGGCCACAGGTTAGGAAGTGCAGGCAGCCTCTGAAAGCTAGAAAAAGCAAAAAGAAAAAGAAAAAACAGATTCTAGAGCCTCTAGAAATATATGATAATACATTTATATTATTTTAACTGCTATGTTTTAACCACTACATTTGTGGTGATTTGTTACAGCAGTAATAGGAAACTAATATGATGGCTTTATTTTTTTAAAAAGCAGTTCCGATGGGTCGCCCTCTATACAAAAGTCTTGACCCTGGCAACACTTGAAACGATTGGACCATGGCTGGTTGAGATTTCATGAAAGAAATAAAGGGTCATGGAGAATAACCCCAGGAAGCCAGACAGCCTTCACATCCAGCCACGCCAGGGCTCTTGCTTAGCTGGTCCTCTGTGATGGGAACGAGAATACAGACCAGAGGCTTGCTTTGCTGTAGCACTGTGTTAACAAGGCCCTGCTTTTTTGTGATTTATAGCACTGGACTCTTCCACACCTTCTGAACTAGTCTTGGAGCCTGCAGTATAGGAAACAGATATCCTGGCAAAAACCAGTGAGACCAGAGCCCAGGAGCTGTATATCTAAGCAAGTAGTTATTTATGCTGTCTCTGGGCTGCTGTGGATCTACTCAGCCAGGGCATTTGTTTGGGACTGAGTCAAAATAGCATGGTGTCCAAGTAGTGTGACAGCCTTTGCTCCTCAGTTATGTATTTTTTGGTCCATGGTTTACTCATGTATTCATTTACTCACAGAGCATTTATGGAGCACCCAGTCTGTACCAAATACTGTGATGGAGATGATCAGGCATTGACCCTACTGTCAAATGGGCACACACCAGAAAGGGAGATAGAAGATAAAGTCCTCAGTTAGTAGTGAGAGATGCAAGAGGTGTGCAGACGTGCCATGGGACAGAGAGAGGCATATGAGCCAGCCTCCTGGAAAGAGGTGGCGAGGAAGGGAGGGAAAGCTGCCAGAGGAGATGTCACTGCACTGTCATCTTGAAAGATCAGAAGAAGCCAGCCAGATACATGTGGTGCAGGAAACCACAGGGATGAAGGTGGACACCTCCGAGGTGCCCATCCAGGACAGCCAGGGACTAGATACAGGAAGCAGTGTTCTGGAGTTTTCTGACTGGCAGTCAGGGAGTCCCGGTTCAAGGCCTGCTCCACCATTCATTGTTAACTGTGCGCCAACTAACCTTTCTATTTTTTCTTTCACACAAAAAAAGTGGATTGTAAACTTTATAGATTATCTCTCACATCCTGGCCATGTCAGATCCATTTCATCTCTAATACCCTGTGATTCTGTGAAAAACAAGTCGTATTTAGTTGGGAGGAATCTGAGACTTAGTAATATTTTATGTTCTCATCAGTTATCTGTTCCATGGTCAGTCGTTAGGCCATCACTAAAGCCAATTCATGGATTTATTGTCCCTTTGGGTCTGCAGGCATTACTCTGTTCAGTGAATACAAGTCTATAACATAGTCTATAGGTATCTCCTTCACATATGTCTCCAGGTGTGTGACATTGTTTGCAAGACAGAGGTGCTCAAATACTTGATGGGTCAACACAAATCACCTCCTCGTACAAGTTTTTCGAGAACATTCTTGTTAGGTGTAGAAGATATTTTTGTTATTATTTACATTGTCCTGTTCAATAGTTACCCAGAACATTAAGTTCAGCTGTACTGGAGAGCAAGAATGATCTGTTATCTTTAGGAATACAGTTGATACACTGAAGATATCCCCCCAAACTAGACTATGTTCCCCTAAACTTAATGTCACAAAGACTCACGCTTAGAGGAGGAAATACTGTTCCCACATGATGAAAAATGACTGTTAGCTTCTTAAGATACAGCACCTGTGGCTAATGGGCCATCCAGAATGAGCTGATGAGACATCAGGATCAGAGTGTTTTAGGAAAGGGTAGTATGGCTGTTCTGATGTCCGAAGACGTAGCAGGGAGGTCATGAGTGAGCCTCTTATTCTCTTGAGCCATTGGAAAGAGCTTACTGAGTTGCTGGCATCCATCTTGCACTCCAAAATCTAATCAGGATTTTGAAAACGGCTAAGAAAAGAACCTGAGCAGTTCTTGAGCACCGACTTTGTGCAGGGCAGCCTGCCATGCATTTTACACATGTCCCTCATCAGAGGGAGGCTCAGGAAGAGCAGCAGCAGATAGAGAAAATAAAAAAAGACCTATGAGAAAAATTAGAGAAGCTTTGAACATTTTACCAAGAAAATAATATGCTGACTTAATAGCTTTGAAGTCTATGAAAAGTACGAGGTGACTCTTTTCTATTTTATGGAGTGAAGGCAAGGGGAACAATAGCTTTAAAAGGCAGCTTCAGGACTAAGGGTTATTAAATATCAAAATGACATGAAAAATACAGATTGGGGAATTTTTCATGGGGATGTTATTTTGAAAAAGATTGGGTATGCATTTGTCTGCTCTAGAGTAGGAGTTGGGGAAATAGATAATATAATTGGGTCCCTTTCAGCTGAATGATGTAATGAGTATAGTTCTAATTCAAAAAGCCCTTGTCCCTGGAGAAAGCATCATTACTTGTCCTGTGCTCTCATGGCAGCTACTGGTTAACTCAAGTGCCTGTGGATTTGACTTCAATTTTATAATCCCTAAGAAGGTTGTGAAATTCCCCAATATCAAGCATAATATTGTTTTGTAGATTTGCATCTACTTATTTTGGTTTATTTGTTAACTTTTTATCTTTTTCCTCTAGAAAACTCAATATTAAAGATCCTAATTCTATCCAAATCAATACTATCTCTGATATTGAAAAACAAAATTCTGAATTCCTGGGGGCAAAGTTTTAACTATGAAAATTTTTATTTTTAGGACACTGGAGATTTTCAACATCTCACTTCTAAGGATGTCTCTTAAATTATATTATGCCCACCCTGTTGGATGCTGGATTTGTTAGAGGTTTTCTATTGCTGCTATTGTTAATACTGTTGCTTATAATGTAGAGATAATTTTATGTAAAAATGAGGGACAAAATTGAAATTTCTTCAAGTCCTTTTTCCATGCAGTTTTCTAAAGAAAGCTACTTTTTTTTTCTTTAGTAGCTAAATTTAGAGTTTCAACCTTTCTGCCTGTTGAGTAAATAGCTTTCCATGAATTAGAACCAAATCCCTTTCCCAGAACATCTTTCTGGAGGAAGAGCATTTTGTCCTGACACCGTGTGTCCAAAGTTCCCTCTGCAACATCCAAAAAACCCCAGAAACAGTTTAATATGAAGTGCATTTGCCTCCTGCTACTGTAATAATTACAGTACCCTCCTTGCATTTTCTGCATGGCCTAGCAATGATTAGATTTTTACTGTAGGCTGCTTGCATTTTTTTTTCCTTGTGTTATTAATTCCTCTGTGTTTCTAGTCTTTTTTTTTTAAATCAAGGGGTAATAATGGAATGCCAATGTTTTTGCTGTCTTCCAGCTTTATAAGGAGATTGTCTATTTACGAAAGGAACACCCAGTGAATTGGCACAAGAACTACGCCATCTCCTGTGAACGGATGCTGCGCCTTCAGGAAAGAAGTGCAGACCCTGAAGTCTTGTTGTCTGAAACCATCAGACACTTCCGTCTCTACACTCGAAAGGCCCAGAACGATCCCCAGCTGGCCGATATTTCAGTTGCTCTAAAGCACCTAAGAAAGGAACTACGAAGTCTGAGAAATATGAAAAATGGCTGAGACAGCAAACTGTGAAAAACCAGCTCGGCTTTCAGCTTCCAAAATTCCCAAGTCCAAAAGTTTTTCCTCCAAGAAAAGAAATGGCATTAAAAAATGAAGACTAAGTCATCTCCCAGATATAAGTAACATGGTGTCACGGAACTGTTTTACGGCCAAGTTAGAAACTGAGATGTGCTATTTCCACAAATTCTATTTAGCCTGTGTTACTGAATTAGCATTTCAGTGAGAATATTTTGAAAAATCTTCCTACTTCCACAACCTTTCATCCAATGACTTGCTTGATTAAATTCTAGAAGAGAATGAACTATCTTCATATACTTTAAAATATCGACCATGAATCTTAAGGGCCCTGCTTATTGGGATTGGTATTAAAATTAAATTCTTAAAATATTAATACCAGACCAAAGACATTCTCTGGCTCCAAGAAATGAAATTTTTATTATTTTTTTAAATTAATTTTGTTACACTTAAAGCTAGAGTACTGTTTGGGGTGCAGGGGATGGGGCGCGGGGGGCGTTGGTTTTCTTTCTTTTATTTTTTTTTTTTGAGTAGCTGTAGTTGTTACATAATCTCACACTTCAAACTAAATACCAACCAGATGATATTTTGAAAAAAGTTAAGGTTTTATTGTGTTCAATCATTCTCTGAAATCACTAAAAATGTAAGCTAATTGTTGTTTGCTTTTTTTTTTTTCAGTTGCTTAAACTGGCAAGTAAAAAGGATTTTGTCTTTCCTTAATTAATTTTATATTCATGTTTTACTTCTATTTGGGCTCATAAATCTGGACCCAATAATTAGGAGGCTTCCTGCTGCCAAAAAGGGGGGCATTGGGGGTTCAGGGGTGTGGGGAAGTGGTTCAATAAATTCATTTCTGTTACAAGCATCTTTTATACATATTACTAAAGAGAACATAGTAAGAAATGCAAATAATAGTTCTTTATTTTATTATGACAGTTAATTAATAGCAACCTGTTTTAATGAATAAAGTCACTCAGAGTCCTTCAGCACTTCCTAAGTAGAGGCCTGAATCTGTAGGGATTCTTTTCCCCCCAGTTGTATAGCTCCTAAACTCCAAGCACCATATAGGCCCCTGTATAGAAATGCTCACTAATGAAGAGGGAGGGCTAGAAGCTTGTCTGCATTCAAAGATCACTGGTGAGTCATTCAGCAAGAAAAGGCCCCTTACCAGGAATAGTCACAGTTCCGTGGCATTGTACTAGCGAAAGGGTCTGATCAAAGGTCTCCTGTGGAGCTTGCATGGTTCCCTTTCATACCACGACCATAATTAAAACCACTAATTCTCTTTTAAAATGCTGCAGGATGCCATGTAGGCATCTGTCTGCAGTGTCCTTTGTGATGTCATAAGCTGTTAAGGACCAGTGCCGAGGGCTTTTGAGTGAAATGCCAGTCATGAAGGTGCTTCAAGACAAGGGTGCCTCTAAAAGCTTGACAGGGCCTTGACTGCACAATTCGAGCTGAATTTGCCCCTTGTCAGCTGCCAGTAAATAAATCTCAAAGGGGGAAAAGCTGAAGTTTCATTACCTGATCCATGGGGCTTTGTTGGTTTTGGCACCACACAGGGGAAGCCCTTGCCCCTCCATTCTCTGGATTTGAAGATGTCCATCGGAGCCTGCAGCGCCTGGACAGGGTTCAGAGCGGAACCTTTTGAAGAGTGTCAATAGTTGTAACAGTTCGGCTGTTAGGAAGACAAATAAATGGAGGAGCTCATTAATCCGCTTTTGGCTCCCGGTGCCTTTTGCCCTTTTATCACAGCCTTATTAGGCTCCTACTCATCTTGAACCAGAAAAAAATGAATTGAAGTTGTTGAGTACTAATTGGCAAAGACTTTTAATCATGGGCCAAGAACTTTCACTGACTTGAAAGTAACTTCTCCACAGGGAAGAACCAAAAACCTGGTTTACCTTAAAACAAAAAACCTGTTGGAGTTCAGTGTGGTGTAAAAATTTAAGGAAGCATTGAGAAGTTGTCTCAGTTGATCCATTTGAAAGAATTATGTAAGATTATGATTTCTACTTTTCTTTTTTTTTTTTCTACTTTTCTTTTTAAGCAGTGCAATAAAATTCATATACTCATTCCCTGGAAATGCACTGTCTTTATTTTTTCAGAAAAGACACTATGTGTGTGTGAGATGATCATGTTGGTTTTTGAAATCTATATTCTGTATAGGGAATAATATGTAAATATTCATTTCAGCATTTACCTACACATCTTGTTTTGGAGTAATATTTCCTACTTATGGCCATAAGTATGGCAAATGAGGGCCTCTTCTTGAAAAATATCTGCATTTTAAATATCTGTACTATGATTCCTCATATACATCTGAATATGCTTTGCATATTGACTGTTGTCAGATGGTGCATAGATTATTCTGTATTTGTGCAACAGTGACTTTGGACCACTCTCTTTGAGAAAGCAGTGATATGATGGCCCACTGTAGATGGGGTCATAATTATTTAAATTTCTAAAAACCAGCAGTGAATGGAAAAAGAGCAAACTGAGCTGAGATTTGGGGATGATGGGCTTCATTCCCAGATCAACTACTTTGAATAATTCTTTCTGTTTTGTGAGGTTAAACCATTTGCTTTCTTTTCTTTCCCTTCCTTCTCCTGGGCTAGTGCACAAACACCATAAAATCTGACAGAAGGGGTTTCCTTCAGTCTAACCCCTGACATGGAAGAGAATGTGAAGGAGGTGACTTCTCATGGAGGATTTGGCCAGCATTCCCCTAGCAGTGTCCCTGGAGTGCCATGGGTTGGCAGGATGACAGGAACCCCACAAGGCCAACTTCTGCCTGGACTTTGGCCTAAGGAGCAAGTTGGAGCCAGAAGCACTGTCTGCCTCTCCACAGGCTGCAGGGCCCTCCCGCACAGCACCAAGGCTGGCACACACACCAGAGGGCCAGTGGAGAAGGGGCTAGTGGCTTCCATGTTCCCTAACAAACCTCCCCAGCCCTGTTCCCGCTGATGGGAGGTATACTTGCTTCTTGCTGTTGACTTTCCTCTTTGTTTTTCCAAAGAATCCTTTTTTTTTTTTTTTAATGCTTTTGTTCTATTATTCAAAATGTAGCCAAAATAGAAGGGAATCAATCACTTGTGTCCTATTTTGAAGTCTTCTAATAGAAGCGAAATGTTATTTCTGCCTGCATTCTTAGTACTTTCTAATGATAGAACCGGGATGTTTATAGCCTTTATGATACTTAAATAAAGCTTTTTTTGAGTGTTAGGATTATTGTATGATATCCTGCTGATTTCTTTAAGACATCAGACTAGGATATGAAGAGTAGTTTTTAAATTCATATTTTGAAAGTTAAACAACGTGAGTCATTTTTCAGAGTTCCCATCAATATCTCTCAGAATTTAGAAATATTAATACTTTTAATATTTAAGAAAAAATACCAAAGATTGAAAAAAATGGATCCTATTAAAGCAAATCCTTTTATTTTGTTTTAATTCTGGTATATTTTGTAAAAGCACCAGTGTAGAGTAATACTTAAAATTCTGTTCTTCTAACTGGCTCTGAGCCCTATGGTAAAACGGTAAAGAAATTCTAACCCAGTAGGAGATTCACACTGCTTTGTTCATCCTCATATCTTGTTGTGGATGCAGGCCCATCCTAAGACTTACACTTAGAAACAAATAACTGTTTCCAGGGATTCTGGGAACATCTAAAGGCCAAGATCTTGGCACAGCCTTACAGAGCAAACAGGGAGCTGAAGCTTAGCAGCGATCATATTCAATGAAGACGTCATTGTCAGTACCCTCTAAAGGTCTGTTTGATTTGGATCAGCGTGGGAGATATAAAAAAAGCCTCAGGAATAGCATGATGTGCTTACCTGGATATTGGAAAGTAAACTAATAGGAATATATCTTGAGAAATGGATTTTTCTGAAGAAAAACTTCTGATTGCTCTTCAACAATGTAATATATATTTGCATGTACTGGAAAGATTAGCTTATATCATATTGCAAAAAAAAAAAAAGATGGGGGGGGGAGAGACAGGTAGAGGTTCCAAAACTGTAAACATAGAGCCTGAAATTGTTGCCCTGTAAATGGAATTACCTGGATCTTTTCCACTGATCCCAAGTGTTACTGGTGAAGGTTAATTTTCAATAGCACAGATAATGTGATGATTTTTTAAAAGTTGATAAGGTTAAGAAAGTTTCAAGATACAGATCGAACACAAAGGCAAATAAATGGACCACGCCGCCATCCACGTGCTCCAACTTCACAGGGCACCCAAGTAGTCACAGGTCTTTTGGGTGCCACTAGATGAAGTTTATGTTAAACAAAGGTCTAATAAAAGGTAAATAGAAATAAGCCATATCTAAGTTTTAACCCACTCAGAATGTTTAGAATTTGTTATAAATCTGTATAGGTAGTATGAAAGGGTAAGAATAGATGAAGTATAATTTTTATATTGGCAAGTTCTTTATATATTATATATGATAAACTAATAAATGGAGATTGTCCTTTGTTAAAATATGCAAACCATAACCACATCCTATTTTAGAAATGTTATCTGAAATGGAGTTATTGGGGACCTCCCTGGTAGTCTAGTGGTTAAGAAGCCACTTTCCAATGCAGGGGATGCAAGTTCAATCCCTAGAGGAACTAAGATTCCCACATGCTGCAGGACAGCTTAGCCCAGGTGCCACACCTAGAAAAGCTGACATGCCACAACGAAAGATCCTGAGTGTCGCAACTATGACCCAACACAGCCAAATAAATAAATGTTTAAGGAGTTTTTTAAAATAATGTAACCTTTTAAAGAAAATCTTTTGGGGACGTCTCTCATATAAATATAATATTCCCTAATGGTTGAACCATTGGAAATACCCTTAATATCTGTGGTTGTCACTTATACGCCTAAGTATGTGTGACTAGAGGGGCTTCCCTCGTGGCTCCATGGTAAGGAGTCTGCCTGCCAATGCAGGAGACACAGCTTCAAACCCTGGGTCAGGAAGATCCCCTGGAGAAGGA